CGTCCGTTCTGGCGCCCTAGAGGCGCGCGCCTTCCCCCCCCTCTCCGTCCCCCGCGCTCCTGCCCCTATCCCACCCGTTTTAGGGTTTGGGGGTAAGGAGTGTGGGGGTGGTGGTTGTGGGGGTGTCCGTTGTGCGCGCCGTGCCCTTCTCCTCCTCCTCCTTTGTCTCCCACTGCTGCAGCTGTCGCTGAGGGGGGTGGATGAGTGGGAGACAGGGGTTTAGGGTTTTAGGGGGGTGCGTGGGAGTGGAGCTAGGGTTTGAGCAGTGGGTGTGTGTCGAGGGTGTGGGGCAGTTGGAGGAGGTTGTGTGGAGGTACCTGTCGTGTCGCCTGCAGCGCCTGTAGTCCGTCGCCCTTGCTTCGGTAGCCAGTGAGCCTGCTGCACCAGTCGCCAGTGGGTCCGTTGCTCCTGCCGCTCTTCTATAGCCGCCGAGCCAGTTACTCCAGTAGTCCGTCGCCCTTGCTTCGGTAGCCTCTGAGTCAGCCGCTCCTGTGCCCGTGCCTCTGCAGCTTCAGTCGTTGCCTCCCATCTTCTCTACCTCCACAGCTCCTCCTCCTCCTCACTTGCCCGCTGTGATTAGCTCTAGCTTTGCTTACCTTTGTGAACTCCTGCTCTATACCTTCTTGCTCATTGTACTGATTACACCCCACTTTGGCTATGGGGGTGTGTCAGAATGTTATTCTCTAGCCTGTAGTGGGGTGCTCTATAGCGAGTACAACCCATCTAGGGTTTGCTATATGTATCCTCATTGCTGCTAGTGAACCTCCTCTTTTGCCTAAACTTCTCTTGCCTAGCTAGGACTTACCTAGCTATGGCTCCTAACTCTGCCTACTATCTTCACACACCGCGTGGCGGAGTTAGCTAAACGCGGTGACTGGATGTTCTCAGTAGACCTAAAATCGGGGTACCACCTCGTGGACATTCACCCGACGTGCTGGAAGTTCCTCGGCTTTCGATTCGAAGGACGCTCCTTCCACTTTTGGTCCTTACCTTTCGGTCTCGCAACGGCCCCGTTTGTCTTCACTCAATTGATAAAGCAATTGGTTACGCGATGGCGTGCCAACGGCGTTCGGGTTGTCCCGTACGTCGACGACATTCTCTTCCTCTGCAAAGGTCACGAAGCCGCACAGCGCACATGCTCGACAGTTGTGGAGGATCTGCGGCATGCCGGACTTGTCATCAACCAGAAAAAATCCTTGCTTATTCCGACCCAACGCCTTCGGTTTTTGGGTTTGGAGTTGGACACCTCGACATGCACCTTCGCAGTAGGAGAAGAGCGACGCACACAGCTGAACGCGACATTGACCGCCCTCGAAGCCGCATGTCATGCTCACCGACCAGTTCCCGTTCGCCAAGTGGCACGCGTGACTGGTATGCTCGCATCGATGTCCCTCGCTCTAGGAGCCACGGCACGGGCATTCAGTCACAGCTTACTCCAGACAATTCAGAAAGCAACTTCATGGCACCAACGGTTGGTGCTCACACAAGAGGTGGCGCAGGAGTTGCAGTTCTGGCGGGCCGAGTTCGACCACTTTAACGGAGCACCGTTCCACATTCGGCACAGCTTCGAGGCGGTGTTGCACGTGGACGCCAGTGCCCATAGCTGGGGTGCTACTCTAGCGAGCTTCCCAGGCTCCACAATAGAAGCTGCGGCAACTATGCCTGAAGCTCTGCGCTCGACGTCGAGCACTCGTCGCGGACTCGAAGGCGTTCTTTGGGCTCTCAGGGCGTTTGAAGCCCACCTAAATGCCAAGCATCTACTCATCCGAGTGGACAACCAAGGGGTGTTCTTCATCCTACGCAAAGGCGGGTCTCGCTGCTCGGAGCTCACGCGCATCTGTCAAGCATTGATCCGTTTTTGTGTGCAGCACGGCACTCGCCTCGCCATAGAATGGATCCCAAGATCGCTCAATACGCATGCCGACACACTTTCCAAATTGCGAGACCACGACGATTACACTCTGAAGCGGCCATGGTTTTGACTCCTCGAGCGGCGCTTGGGTCCACACTCGCTCGATCTCTTTGCGAACGCCACCAACGCGCAACTTTCTCGTTTTTGCACGAAGGTGCCCCACCTGGCGGCGCACGCAGTCAACACTTTCTCCATTTCATGGACCGGGGAACACGGGTTTGCTTTCCCACCTCCTCAGTTGATTCCGGCTGTGCTGCACCACGCACAACAAACGCGAGCCAGAATCACCCTCGTCCTCCCCGAATGGCCCGGAGCTTTTTGGTGGCCCCAAGTTCACCCAACGGCTAACGGATGGGCACCAGAAGTCAAGACCCACATCCGACTCACCAGCGGCAGCCAGTGCCTTGGTGTAGGCACCCACACAACCGCATTCTCGGGCACTGGTCTCCCCAACAGCATTATGCATGCGCTCCTGTTTTCCTTCGAATAATCATTGAGCATGCTCTTGTTCTCATGGCACAGGCACCATGGTCAGGCTCCATCACCGACTTCTGCTTATCACATCCCAAGTTAGGGCGGATTCGACAATTCGCACGTACGACCCCTACTGGCTAAAGTTTCGCTCCATCTGCGACCAGTTCCAGCTGTCATTCTTACCAACCACCGACACAACGCTTGCACTCTACTTGGTGCATGCAATCGAGAAAAAGGCAACAATCTCCATGGTACAGCTCACCTGCTCGGCAGTCACTTTCGCACACCGCATGATCGGAGCTCCTTGTCCCGTCGCAGGCACATTCACCAGCCAAGTTCGCGAGTACGCCAAACGGCACTGCGCGCGCCCATCTCGGATCAAGGAGCCTGTGTCTCTTCACCAAGTCCACGACATGGCGCAACACTACCTATCCGCACAGATCCTGCAGAATTCCAAAAGGGACTCATTCCCCTGCTCATGTATGCGGCATTCCTGAGATATTCGGATCTCGTGGCAATTCGTTGGGAAGACATCCAATTCGAAGATGAGGTTATGTGGATCCTCATCCCGCGTTCCAAAACCGACCAGGAGGGTCGTGGAATGTGGGTCCCAGTGGCGGCAACACCGGGCCCGTTCTGCCCAGTACGCTGCACCCAATGCTTCATACAGCTCGCGCAATACGGGCCTCTCACTCACGGGCCGTTGATCCGTGTCTTTGGTCGTCGTACATCGGCATCATCAACACCTACCTCCCCTTCATACACGACCATTCGCAATTGGTGCAAAGAGGCATTCGCTAAGATCGGCCTCAGCGACACCCACTTGGGAACCCATTCATTCCGCAAAGGCGCCGCCACCATGGCTGCGAGTGTAGGAGTCCCAGCCCGCGTCTTCCAAAGGCTCGGTCGCTGGCGCAGCAGTACGGCCAGGGACCTTTACGTGACAATAGCAACCCAAGACTTGGTGTCCGCCTCCCAACGACTTCATAAGGCTGACGCCGCACCGGCTCCTCCGCAGCATGAGCACGCCATCATTCGCCAACGACAACCTTTGCTTCACATGCTTCAGAGGACCCACAAGCAATGAAGATGATGCTTATTGCTAGTCAAGAAGCAAGCTTTCTCAATATGTATATTTTCGAAAGTGTTACACTTTCTAAAATGACTTATTGTGAAAGCGCAGCAGCTTGTACGCAGCACTTGAAGGCATCGTCGAAGCGCTATTCGCCCTTCTCCGACTACAAAAGAAGGGGTTTCGGCCATTTGGCCTCACCCACGTTTTCATTTTTGAACTTTCAAGTTCAGTTTCCCCCCCACCCCCCGCATGCTTAGACTTGATGTAATATTATCTGGTTATACGGTATGACGGGCAATGCTGTACTTGAACCACAAGCAATGAAGACGATGTTTATTGCTAGTCAAGAAGCAAGCTTTCTCAATTGAACAGCACAGAACAGAGTTAACGTTTACAACAAAAACATTTCGAAGAGGATGTCAATATAGATCAATGCAACAACTGAGATTGATGGGGTCGTTGAAACAACGAAGACACGCTGCCCCAACGACGATGACAACCCCAATTTGCATACATGACCCATATCAACACCGCGCTCCAAAACACAAACACAACACATTAACAAGAGTGAAACGCGTACTATCAGGATTACGATAATACGTAACGATTGTGAATGCTTCAAAGCTAATGCTAAAATGCATCGATGCTGCAGCAGAGATTGATGGGGTCGTTGAAACAGCGAAAACACGCTGCCCCAACGACGATGACAACCTCTGCTGCACACACGAGGCAAATTATCATCACCCCGAAACAAACACAACCACGAACTCATACGCACACACAGGCACACACATACATATATACACATACGGACACACACTCACATACATACACACATACGCACAACTACACAGATACACACATGATGAGCATGCAAGCATCCAAGCATTGCAAACGAGTTAAGCTACGCATACAGCATTGCTAGTGTGTCCATTCTTCCCCTTCCCCCGCCCTGCCCCCCGCCCTGCCCCCCTCCTCCCCCCCATCCCCCCCGTGCCCCCCTGCCCCCGTCCCCCCCCCCCCCCCCCCCCCCCCCCCCTTCCCCACCACATCTATCTTTTATCTCGCTTCCCCCTTCTCTCTCACACCCTCCCCCCTTATCTTCGCAAGCAAAAACACATAATGCAGCTCGCGCCCTGCAAAGGAAAGCAAAAACAGATGCAACCGGCACGCCCTGCACAAGAAAAACAAAATACAGGTTATATAGCTCACGCATTCCGCACAACATACATGTTCTTGAAGAGTGCAATAGTTGGCCGTGACCGGTAAAAACAGATTAAATCTAACTACTGGCGCTGCCTCCCCTGCACACGCCCTCTCCTTCGCTCACTTCTCCTTCGCTCACTCGCTCTCCCTCACTCCTCTCTCTCCCCCACGCGCACTCTAACCCTCTAACCATCGTCCGCCATCGCACGAAGTAAGCGTGCACCAGCCAAGCATCATGGGAGCCACGAGATACGTAACGATGACCTAACTAAGAAAAACATACAAATTCATTCTCTCTTAGCCAAAAGGCGCCAGCACCAGCGCCAAAAGGCGCTAGCGGCAGCGCCAAAAGGCGCCAGCGCCAGCGCCAAAAGGCGCCAGCACCAGCGCCAAAAGGCGCCAGCGCCAGCGCCAAAAGGCGCCAGCGCCAGCGCCAGCGCCAAAAGGCGCCAGCACCAGCGCCAAAAGGCGCCAGCGCCAGCGCCAAAAGGCGCCAGCGGCAGCGCCAAAAGGCGCCAGCGCCAGCGCCAAAAGGCGCCAGCGCCAGCGCCAAAAGGCGCCAGCGCCAGCGCCAAAAGGCGCCAGCACCAGCGCCAAAAGGCGCCAGTACAAGCGCCAAAAGGCGCCAGCACCAGCGCCTAAAGGCGCCAGCACCAGCGCCAAAAGCCGCCAGCGCCAGCGCCAAAAGGAGTCAGCGCCAGCGCCAAAAGGCGCCAGCGGCAGCGCCAAAAGGCGCCAGCACCAGCGCCAAAAGGCGCCAGCACAAGCGCCAAAAGGCGCCAGCACCAGCGCCTAAAGGCGCCAGCACCAGCGCCAAAAGCCGCCAGCGCCAGCGCCAAAAGGCGTCAGCGCCAGCGCCAAAAGGCGCCAGCGGCAGCGCCAAAAGGCGCCAGCGCCCAACGGCGCCGGCAACTTACACGCCAATGACGCCTAAGGCCAACGCCCATGGCACTAACGCCCAAGGGCCAGCAGCTTACGCGCCATCGGCCTGGTTTGAGCGCTAAGGCGTGAGCGCCCTAAGGCGAGCTTGATTGCCTATTGCACGAGGGATAAGGGCAAGCGCTCTAGGCGCGCGTGGCTTAGACACTAACAAGATAGAGAAGTACCTGGGAAGGTGGTTGGAGTTCTTGATTGGCTTTAGGAGAGTTGGAAAGAGGTGAGAGAAAGCTTCGAGAGCATTTGGGGGGAGCAGTTGGTTGGGTTGGGAGAAGAACAAAACCCTAGGCAACTGGGTGGGACTGTTCATCCCAAACCCAAGTCAGCAAAATATATTCTACAGCAAAAGTGGGTTCTAACTTCTAAGTAATATATGTTCCAGTATGTTGATAGTGGTCTAAATGATGTTCCAAATACTGGAAACACACAGTTTACTGCATAGACACCGAAGCACCTACAGCCATTCGTGAAACCCACTGGACCTAAACCTTGCCCGCCATAGTGTTTCTGAAAAGGAAAGGGAATGAAGAAAGAAAGGGAGAAGGAAAATGAAACTGCCAAAAAGAACCCAAATGCAGCACACATAAAACCCCCACTCAAGATACCCAATCAAAACGCCCAGTCAAGACACCCCATCAAGACATCCCATCCCACACCCCATCCCCCCCCCCCCCCCTTCAATCACATCAACGTATCGACCATGTACGGGGCCTCCACCCAGAGAGCCCCGCCTTCCACATCGACATCGTCCCTCTCCCGATCCACCAAATCTACGTTAATCCCCCCCATGGAAGACGCTGCTCGAAGCAGGATGACACGGGCTTGCGCTCGTTGTAACGCCACCCCGATGAGCGCCTTCAGTGACCCTAAAAGATAAGCCGAAAACACAGAGTCGTCCTCTCGACAAGCCCCCCGCGACACAGCTAGTCCCACGTGCGCATCCCCCTGCTGACGAAGCCACCGCTGAAAACGACCGCCGAGACACCCCCACGCCTCAACTATCAAAGGGGTGAACTGCACGCCCCGGTTGCGTGCAAGCAGAGGCGCGTAGTCACTCGTTTTGCGGCGCTCCCACTCCCTTGCCGCCACACCTATTTGACGCCCGCACTGTCCCAGCAGTGATGGAGACAGCGATAGCGGGTCCGCGACGCTGATCTCTAGGGCGTGAGCCTCTCCAGCCATTGGACGTCGCACCGCCACATCAACCCGCTTCCCATGCAGCACCACACTATCCTCCATTGTCACCACCCCCCCCGACGCCTTAGAGATCTTCGCCACCGCAAACTTCACCTCATCATGCACTCGAGAAGGACCATGCTGATGCCTGCATCTCAGGGCATGGTGCGGATCTGCTGGGTCAACAAACGCTGTGCCACAAACACACCTCCCCGCCACCTGCAGCTGCTGGATTGGGAGGCCAAGCCGTATAGCAGCAGCAATGCCCCACTCAGCCGCAGTGAATGTGAGATCTGAGTGAGCCGGAACCGCCGAAACCCATGCACCTGCCCCCGTGCCCTGAAGGGATGTGAAACGGGCCAAGGTGGCATCGTCACGAGCCAAGCGGCGCAGTGCCTGGAGCTCCTCTACAGCTAACTGCCGCTGCCGCGCCTGGAAAAGCCGAACAGGAGGGGCCGCTACACACAGAGGTAAGCCCGGTATCTCTTGGCGGATAGTTGCTGGCAGCTGCTCAAGAGCCTTGACAAACCACGGGTCAAGAAACTCTGCCCCTGTCGAAGTGGTGAGGTACTCTGCAAACATCGCCTCCTCACCCGCCACCCCTAACTGTGCAATGTCACGTGCGGCCTGCGCCCACCCACAAACATAGGACAGTGGGCTCAAAGAGGCCGCCGCCCGGATCCCGAACCCTCCGAGACGCACAGGGAGATGCAGCTGTATGCGTGCGCGCCTAGACCGGTCGGGGTCCTGCTCCCAAGTGCCAGGTGGAAAAAGCTGCTCAAAGCAATCCTCTAAACAGCTGTCCCAATCCCTAAAAGCCTCAACTACCTCCGGACGCGGCGGCATAGTCCGGGCGAGGTACATCGGCCGCGCTGAAACTGCAATGGCGAGGAGGTGTGAAGCCATCTGGGGGTGGTCGAGCAAGGGGAGCCATGGCAGTGGCGCCTGCAACTGTTGAAGCCGCTCCCGTAGCCGGACCACCTCCCAAACCTCCTCTCCAATAGGCACGCCCACCACAGTAAGACCCTCATCCACCCGCTGCATCCCCAATGGCAGTGCCCGCTCCACCTCCTTGCCCTCGCGCTCCCAAAACCGGCACTTGTGCGCCTGCACCTCCAGCCCCACCCACTCCAACCGCTCCCGAAGCACCCCAAAAGCCTCCAGAATCCTAGCCGCTGGCCCCAAAATATAGGTATCGTCTGCATAGCTGAGGAAAAGCAGGTCCTTGAACTCCCTAGTAACCGGCTCCATCACCTGCTGCTGAGTGAACGCGAAAAGAAAAGGGCCGAGCGGGCCCCCCTGCCTCGATCCCCGTGCTGACTCGAGGCTCTGTACGAAAGGGCCTGCTCGGAGGTACAGGTCGCTAGGTGTCCCATAAAAGACACGCAAGAATGGGATCATCCCTGAGAAAGGCGACTCCCGCAGCCCATCGAACATCACATGACGGTGAAACGAATTGAAGGCGTTTGCGACGTCTATCTGTAGCGCACACTAGTCGGGGTGAGTGGCCAGCGCTGACTGGAAAGAGTGAGTGAGAATCTCCGCCCCGACCCTGGTGCCCGCTCCCAGCTGGTTGCACGGCAGGAAGTAGGAAACCATTGCAGGGCGGAGCGAGATGCAGAGAGCTCGAGCAAGGATACGAGGAAGCACCTCCCCGATCGCCACCGGCCGGACGTCGCCGTTAGGCTTGGAAAGCCCGACTAGGTTGGATGCGGCGAGCCACGGCCGAGCCCGCTCGGGGACCTGTCCTGCCACCCATTGGTTGAACACTTCCAACAAGTGGGAAAGGCAGGAAGGTTCAGTGAGGAAGGTGTCGCGCAGATGCTCTGTGACCCACCCCGATGGCCCTGCTGCTGAAGCTCGAGCGGCTGTATGGATAGCTCTGGCCAGGATGTCGGTCGTGAGTGAAGGCCGCTGAGCAGTATTGATGGTGAAATCGCGGACCCACTGTGGTACCTCGCCAGCGCTAGCCGGGTGCTTCTCTCGCAGCGACTGCATCATGACCTCAGACGGTCGAGCCAACTCCCCTGCTGTAAGGCAGGCCAATCCACGGCTCCACTCCCCCACTTTGCACCGAGATCGGCACCGTGACAGGCGGATGGCATCCGGGTCCTGGTCAGAGCAAGTGTAGGAAAGTGGGCGAACTGCTGGCCGCGCCGCCACCATGGCAGAATCGAACAGCTCCCGCCACCTCCCCTCCCAGAACGCACCCAACCGCTCTGTGATCAGCGCCTTCTGACCTATGCCTGGCTTGGGAGGCATGGCTAGGATGAGGCGCGGAAACGCCAAGAGTAGGAGGGTAGCGGCTTCATCTCCCGGCTGGCTCTTCAAGCGCTTAAGGATGCAACAGAGCGCGTCTAAAACCCCCGACCTGGCCCGCTGTGGGATCCGGCGCACTGTCCTCCCTCCAACCGCCTCCACGCTGAAAAATGTTTCCCATTCCCATGACGTAACCCCAGCCCACGCCTCCTCCCCAAATTCCCGCGGCGTCGATCGCTCCTGCGTGTCGGTCTCCACCAGAGACGGAATCGAGCCGAGAGCCTGTGCACGCCTCTCCGCCTCCGCCGCTCGGCATACCCTCATGTGGTTCGCAGCGGCCCCCCGCGTAGCGAAAGTGTGGAAACACGTGTCGCACGGAAAGCGGGGGCATGGGGAAGGCGGCATGGGAGGTGCTTCGTCCGCCTCTGACTCCTCCACAGTCGCCATGGGGGTATCAAGCTCCAAAAGTCGACACCACTCCTCCAACTGTTGCTCCTGGTCGTCCATCGATCGCCCCCCTGATTGCTGTGCTCCTTGGGGTGCCCAGGGCACCCTCGGCTGCCCCCCTGGCTGCTGCACTCCCTGGGGTGCCCCAGTCACCCCCGGCTGCCCCCCTACCTGCTGCTCCCCCTGGGGTGCTCCGAGCACCCTCGGCTGCCCTCCTGCCTGCTGCACTCCCTGCCCTCCTCCTTGCTGCACTCCCTGGGGTTCCTCAGGCACCATCGACTGCCCTCCTGCCTGCTGCACTCCCTGGGGTGCTCCGGTCACCCCCGGCTGCTCCCCTACCTGCTGCTCGCCGTGGGGTGCTCGGGTCACCCCCGGCTGCCCCCCTAGCTGCTGCTCTCCCTGGGGTGCTCCGGTCGCCCCCGGCTGCCCCCCAGCCTGCTGCTCTCCCTGGGGTGCTCCAGGCATCCTCGGCTGCCCTCCTACCTGCTGCACTCCCTGGGGTGCCCCGGGCACCCTCGGCTGCCCTCCTGCCTGCTGCACTCCCTGGGGTGCCCGGGGCACCCTCGGCTGCCCTCCTGCCTGCAGCACTCCCTGGGGTGCCCCGGGCACCCTCGGCTGCCCTCCTGCCTGCTGCACTCCCTGGGATGCCCCGGGCACCCTCGGCTGCCCTCCTGCCTGCTGCACTCCCTGGGGTGCTCCGGGCACCCCCGGCTGACCCCCTGCCTGCTGCACTCCCTGGGGTGCCCCGGGCACCCCCGGTTGCCCCCCTGCCTGCTGCACTCCCTGGGGTGCCCCGGGCACCCCCGGCTGCCCTCCTGCCTGCTGCACTCCCCGGGGCGCCCCGGGCACCCTCGGCTGCCCTCCTGCCTGCTGCACTCCCTGGGGTGCTCCGGGCACCCCCTGCTGCCCTCCTGCCTGCTGCACTCCCTGGGGTGCCCTGGGCACCCCCGGCTCCCCACCTGCCTGCTGCACTCCCTGGGGCGCCCCGGGCACCCCCGGCTGACCCCCTGCCTGCTGCACTCCCTGGGGTTCCCCGGGCACCCCCGGTTGCCCCCCTGCCTGCTGCACTCCCTGGGGTGCCCCGGGCATCCCCTGCTGCCCTCCTGCCTGCTGCACTCCCTGGGGTGCTCCGGGCACCCCCGGCTGACCCCCTGCCTGCTGCACTCCCTGGGGTGCCCCGGGCACCCCCGGTTGCCCCCCTGCCTGCTGCACTCCCTGGGGTGCCCCGGGCACCCTCAGCTGCCCTCCTGCCTGCTGCACTCTCTGGGGTGCCCCGGGCACCCCCGGCTGCCCTCCTGCCTGCTGCACTCCCTGGGGTGCTCCGGGCATCCCCGACTGACCCCCTGCCTGCTGCACTCCCTGGGGTGCCCCGGGCACCCTCGGCTGCCCTCCTGCCTGCTGCACCCCCCGGGGTGCCCCGGGCACCCTCGGCTGCCCTCCTGCCTGCTGCACCCCCCGGGGTGCCCCGGGCACCCCCGGTTGCCCCCCTGCCTGCTGCACTCCCTGGGGTGCCCCGGGCACCCCCGGCTGCCCCCCTGCCTGCTGCACTCTCTGGGGTGCCCCGGGCACCCCCGGCTGCCCTCCTGCCTGCTGCACTCCCTGGGGTGCTCCGGGCATCCCCGACTGACCCCCTGCCTGCTGCACTCCCTGGGGTGCCCCGGGCACCCTCGGCTGCCCTCCTGCCTGCTGCACCCCCCGGGGTACCCCGGGCACCCCCGGTTGCCCCCCTGCCTGCTGCACTCCCTGGGGTGCCCCGGGCACCCCCGGCTGCCCCCCTGCCTGCTGCACCCCCTGGGGTGCCCCGGGCACCCCCGGCTGACCCCCTGCCTGCTGCACTCCCTTGGGTGCCCCGGGCACCCTCGGCTGCCCTCCTGCCTGCTGCACCCCCTGGGGTGCCCCGGGCACCCCCGGTTGCCCCCCTGCCTGTTGCACTCCCTGGGGTGCCCCGGGCACCCTCGGCTGCCCTCCTGCCTGCTGCACTCTCTGGGGTGCCCCGGGCACCCCCGGCTGCCCCCCTGTCTGCTGCACTCCCTGGGGTGCCCCAGGCACCCCCGGCTGCCCCCCTGCCTGCTGCACTCCCTGGGGTGCCCCGGGCACCCCCGGCTGCCCTCCTGCCTGCTGCACTCCCTGGGGTGCCCCGGACACCCTCGGCTGCCCTTCTGCCTGCTGCACCCCCTGGGGTGCCCCGGGCACCCCCGGTTGCCCCCCTGCCTGCTGCACTCCCTGGGGTGCCCCGGGCACCCTCGGCTGCCCTCCTGCCTGCTGCACTCCCTGGGGTGCCCCGGGCACCCCCGGCTGCCCCCCTGCCTGCTGCACTCCCTGGGGTGCTCCGGGCACCCTCGGCTGCCCCCCTGCCTGTTGCTCTCCCTGGGGTGCTCCGGTCACCCCCGGCAGCTCCCCTGGCTGCTGCTCTCCTTGGGGCGCCCCGGGCACCCAGGGCTGCCCCCCCACCCGCGGAGCTCCCGGGGGTGTCTCGGTCGCCCCCGGCTGCCCCTCCGCCTGCTGTGCGGCAGCTCCGCTTCCAGTTCGCCCTTGCGTCTTACGGGCGTGTCGTCTCCCGCCTCGGCCCCGTGCCCGGGTTCTCTTCGCTTGGCTTGTAGAGTCCGCACTAGCGACCTCCAGCTGCCCCCGCGCCGGCAGCTCCCGCCGCTCCCCCTCCGACAGCTCCTGCTGCCCTCCCCCCGACAGCTCGAGCTGCCCTCCTGTTGGCAGCTCCTGCCGCTCCTCCCCCGGCAGCTCCTGCTGCTCTCCTGCCTGCAGCCGGACTTGGCTCCCTGATTGGTCCTGCTGCACCTCTGGCATTAGCTCGGCCATCTCCACATCCACCGCTTGCTGCTCCCTTGCCGGCAGCTGCCCCACCCCCGGCGGCTTCTGCCGCTCTTCCCTTGGCAGCTCCAGCTGCTCTCCCCCGGACGGCCCCTGCTGCCCTCCTGCCTGTGGCCAGGCCTGGTTTCCCGATTGGTCCTGCTGTGCCTCTGGCTGTAGCTCGGCCATCTCCACTTCTACCGCTTGCTGCTCCCTTGCTTGCTGCTCCCTTGCCGGCAGCTCCTGCTGCTCTTCCCTTGGCAGCTCACGCTGCTCTACCCCGGGCGGCTCCTGCTGCCCTCCTGCGTGTGGCCGGGCACGGTTCCCCGATTGGTCCTGCTGCACCTCTGGCTGTAGCTCGGCCATCTCCACTTCTACCACTTGCTGCCCCCCAGCCGGCAGCTCCTGCTTCCCTCTTGCCGGCACCTCCAACTGCCCTCTCGCCGGCACCTCCTGCTGCCCTCTCGCCGGCACCTCCTGCTGCCCTCTCATTGGTGCCTCCTGCTGCCCTCCCGCTGGCGCCTCCTGCTGCCCTCCCGTTGGCACCTCCTGCTGCCCTCCCGCTGGCACCTCCCGCTGCCCTCCTGCCTGCAGCTCCTGCTGCCCCCCCGCCGGCAGCTCCAGCTGCCCTCCCGCCAGCCGCTCCTGCTGCTCTCCCTTCGGCAGTACCTGCTGCTCGCCTGCCGACCGCGCCTGCCGCCCTCTTGCCTGCAGCTCTTGCTGCCCTCTCGCCGGCAGCTCCAGCTCCCCTCTCGCCGGCAGCTCCTGCTCCCCTCTCGCCGGCAGCTCCTGCTCCCCTCCCGCCGGCCGCATCTGCTGCTCCCTTGCCTGTGGCTTCCGGGCCTCCCCCAACAGCCAGTTCTGCTGCCCCCCCTCCTGCCTCGAGGGCTGTGTCCCCGCTGGACTCCACTGCTGCCCTTCCGCCCGGGCTCTCCGTCTCTGTTGCTGCCTTTGGGCCAGGCGAGGCCCGCGCGGAGCTGTGAGGGCTGGGCGTGCCGAAGGATTTCCTAGGGCCCTCCGCCGCCTATCATGAGACTCCTGCAGTCGCCGGCGGTGTGCCTCCCATGCAGCCATCGCCGCGTCATCACCGGTACCTTGCCTGTGCGCCCCATGACCGCACTCGCCCTCGTCCGTCACGTCCAGGTCCCGGTTGGAGATGGTGTCGCTGCCGCCTACGAAGCCGCCGAGAGTGTCTTTGGGTGGTTCCTCTGTCCCCCCCTCTGTCGAGAGGGGTCTATACCTTTGTCGCTTGCTGGGCTTGCCAAAAAGGCAGAGTGCATCCTCGTGGTGGAGGCGACAAAGTTGTGGGTATTGCATACTCGGCGCTGCCTCCCTGGGTCTCTTGTGGCCAATCCTCGCGATGATCTTCCTCCCCCGGTCTGGGGGCTCTGGATCGTTGGTCATGGCGTAAGCTGTTTGCGGGGGGCGCTGGAGGGGCGCCTCCCGCCTTCGATATAAGGCTCGCAGTCCGGGTGAGTCGAAGGTGTTGGGCGTCGCTGGCGCACGGAGACTCCCCTATACGCTGGACGCTCCTACATGCAAGTGTTGGTACCTAGGCGCGGGTCTCGCTTTGTGGTCCTCCCTACACGCGGTAGTCGCTGCCTAGGCGCGAGCTTCACTGCGATGGCGCTCCTACGCGCGAGTATAGCTGCCTGGGCGCTGATCCCTCCGCCGCGGCGCGGATTTCGTTGCTACGGCGCGGGTTTCACTGTTACGTGGCGGATTTCGCTGCTACGGCGCGGACTTCGCTGCTACGGCGCGGGTTTCGCTGCTAAGGCGCGGATTTCGCTGCTACGGCGCGCAATTCGTTGCTACGGCGCGCACTTCGCTGCTACGGCGCGCACTTCGACGCTACGGCGCGGGCTTCGCTGCTACGGCGCGGATTTCGCTGCTACGACGCGGATTTCGCTGCTACGGCGCGGATGTCGCTGCTTCATTGTGGGTTTTGCTGCCTAGGCGTGGATGTCGCTGCTACGACGGGGATTTCGCTGCCCCGGCGCGAATTTCGCTGCTACGGCGTTGATTTCGCTGCTACGGCGCGATGTTCGCTGCTGCGGTGCGGATTTCGCTGTTACGGCGCGGGTTCCACTGCCCAGCTGCGCGCTGCTACCTGCAGTTCGCGGGCTAAGTGGCTAAATCACCGGTTGGTCAGCAAGATCGCTGCTTTGCAGCTAGGTCGCGGGCGGGGCGGCTAAATCGCTGGCTGAGCGGCTAAAATGCGGGCTAGGCGGCTAGATCGAGGCGTAGGCGGCTAGATCACGGGCTGGGCGGCTAGATCGCGGGCTGGGCGGCTAAATCGCGGGCTGGGCGGCTAGATCGCGGCCTGGGCGGCTGAATCGCGGGCTAAGAGGCTGGGTCGCGGGCTACGTGGCGGAATCGCGCTGCTACTAGCGAGGAAAGAGCTGCTGCCTAGCGGGAGTCGCGCTGCTGCCTAGCTGGGATCGCGCTGCTGCCTAGGTAGCTGGGATCGCGCTGCTGCCTAGGTAGCTGCTGCCTGGGTAGCTGCTGCCTAGGAATCGCGCTGCTGCCTTGGTAGCTGGGATCGCGCTGCTGCCTAGGTAGCTGGGATCGCGCTGCTGCCTAGCGAGAGTCGCGCTGCTGCCTAGCTGGGATCGCGCTGCTGCCTAGCGAGAGTCGCGCTGCTGCCTAGCTGGGATCGCGCTGCTGCCTAGCGAGAGTCGCGCTGCTGCTCTTTCCTAATCAACTCCATTCAAACATTTCTGTTTGCCATGATTGGCAGGAGGAGGTACCGCATTTCGCCCCTCTTCGTCTCCTCTACACCACACGGTAGCGCATTCACACAAGCTTTAACTTCAGGGTATTATAGCTTGAAACTTGGTAGTCCCAGGCAGTCCCAGAAAATTGTCACATAAGGCGACCTTTGTACGAAAGAACATGGGTACAGCGAGGCCAGTTAGCGCTGACCACTAATTTGTCAGCTGGAAAGCTGTATTCAAGGGACGCTGGGTAACCACCCATATTCTACATCGCGTTTTCCATCCCCCTCTTCTGCATCTCCCCCCACCCCACCTCAACCCGCCTCTGCCCCGAAACCCTCCCCCTTTTCCCCCTCTCACACACGGAAATTCCGCCTCTATTCCAGCTCAGCAAGTGCAGCGAAGCCAAACAAGTGGCGAAAGAGTGGCTCCGATTGGTTCCCACATGACCCACAACAAACAACCTTGATTGGCTGTTCAAAAATCACAATCTGTATGCTTGAGATTCTTCACCTTTTACCCTGCACAGCAATCCATCGGCTGGGCGGAGTGGCTGCGACGCGTGGGACACGTTAGTGCCTTCAAACAAGGGGACGACAAGTCAAACCGAGACGTTGGACACGGACAAGCCAATCACACACACAAATGTCGCGCCCCACCGAACCAGCTCGCTCGGTTCGGTTCCTTCGTTTCACGTAGGTAGGTCACTCCGGGCCTCTCGTTTAGTTGCGTGCCAAACTGCCATGTCAGAGTTCCCAGCCAATGAGGTTGGGTGACGGGCGGGAAAACCTGGGTACAGTGTGGCACAGTTTTGAATACGTTGCTTAGGATGTGATATAGATACATGAATTAAACATTACAAGTATTGTTATATGCTGATGGTTGCGTCCAATACAATGAGCTAACTATTCAGTTACGACTGATGTACGCACTGTTTCTAGTGTAATAACATTCACAACAAAAAACACAATGAACTAATAAATAAGGAAATCAATATGAGAACAATTAAAGTGTTTACTAAACAGGGAGTAAGGAATGTACTTCTATGTCAAAGAAATGGAATAGAAAGATAAGTATGACGAGTGCAAAATGAAGGAGGGTTATGAAGAGTCAGTAGATGTCAAGCTAGCAATTCATATATCGTATACAATAATGGGTCAAATGAGGTTAGAAGGAAAGCAATCGACGCCATCGGTCCGGATAAATTATGGGTCAATCACAAATGAAGTCGAAGGAAAGCAATCGACGCCATCGGTTCGCATTAACACCAGTCTGACAATATCAGGCCGTGGAATAGCTGGTAAAAGTTTGATGTTTCAGGCTCGATCCTAGCCAAATTGTATGGGGTGGCCATGTTGAAATAGGTAGGAATGATGTCGACTAGGTGAAAGGAGGGGGGACAAGAACAATGTCGAGAAAGGTTTTGTACCCCCTAGTGCTAACTCCCATACAGCCTACATAAATACAAACATATATGTTTTGACACACCCTCATAGGCGAAATGGGGGATAGCCAGAGCAAGCAATGGTCACAAGATTAGTCAAAAGAAGAAGCAAGGCACAACTCAGGATGGATCACAAAGTCACCACACAGTTCGAGCACAAGCAAATGGTCACAAGACCAGTTCACATGCAGAGTTATAAAGAGCACATGCAGTACAAAGATCACAACCTAGCAAGAGTAAGCATGCAGGTACATATATAAAGAACACTGTACAAGGCTAAATCAAGCAGTAAGGAAGTGAGGCAGAGTAGGCACAAGACCTAGAGCAGTGCAGAACCACTGATGATCACCAGACAGAAGTGCCTTGGTGAAAATATCAGCAGTGTTGGCCCGTGAGACCACGTAAGCAAGACGAAGCTGACCACGCTGCTGCAACTCTCGTGCAAGGAAGTAACGCAAAGCGATATGCTTCGTTCTGTGCTCCAGTTTGTGGTCCTGACACAAGGCAATCATGGCCTTGTTGTCGACGTACAGAACTGGAGGAGAACAACGCCGCTCTCCCAAGTCGGCAAGCAAGTAGGTCAGCAGCGTAACTCCTGTGCAGCCATGGCCCCCGCGTAGATCTCAGCCTCACAACTGGAGCTGAGAACAGAGGACGAGCGAGTATACCTCCAAGAAACTGAACCAGAGCCAAGGCTGAAGGTGTAACCTTGTGACAACGGCTGAGTCGCCTGGTCGTCTGCCCAAGAAGCGTCTGAGTGTCCAGTGAGTACAACTAGACCCCGTCCTCCAAGCACGAGCCCCATGCCGGATGTACTGCACAAGTAACGCAACACCCTCCTAGCAGCCAGTCAGTGCTCTGGTCGGTGTCTCCCAGGCGCAACGTAGTGCGCCAGGATGCTGAGAGGGTATGCGAGGTCAGGTCGAGTGCAGGTCATAAGATAAATGAGGCAGCCCACAAGCTCTGGATACTGACCACTCGGCTCTACGGACTCGTCCGAAGGTGGAGCTGAGACCGAGTGGCCTGTAGGCAAAGGAGTGAACTGTGGCGTGGAGAACTAGAAGCCGAAGCGCTGAAGGACGTGATGCACCATGTGTAACTAAGTCAAAGTGATGGTGCGCCGTGCTCTGTCCCGGGTGATCTGTAAGCCAAGATAGCTGCGCAGCTCACCCAAGTCAGTGCATGTGTGTCTCTTCTGCAGCTCC